CCCCCTCCCCCCCATTTATTTTTCTTTCATTTGATTTACGTCATCAACGTTGTTCCCACATACTCTGATCTTGACCCTCTTCCCTGTATGTCTCGTTTTCCACTTCCTGAATGCTTTCTTCCTTGTACTGCCTTCTCGGAAATCATATCTGTATGCAATACATTTACGTCCTACTTTGACATCATGACCTCCAACCACGTGCACTGTTCATTCATGTATAAACAACAGCTTAGTGCAGCTGCACCTATTATATAATTAGTTGAAAATGTGTTTAACGTCAAATAACAAATCACTTATTCACTCGTACGATTGCTTACACGTGTCTGAGGTCAGCATTATTTCGTAAAGTCTTGCACTGTGTGTGTAGGGTTAAACCTACCACATGTCCTTTGGAGTCGTGTAGCCATTGTGCGGCGTTGAAGAGGGGGCGACGATGACGTTTATTGGCCCCCTACGTCACTTCCATCTTACATCATTAGGATTACTCGACACGGGCTCTTCGCTGACGATACGCTCGGACATTCCTTTCATTTTTTGCAAACAAATGTGACGTTTTAGTTTTAGATTTAGACGTCATCCTGCAAAGTCCTTTTGATGGGGAAATGTGATATTACAAAGACACAAAAAAATGCCAAAAATTCTATGGCGATGATGAATGTTAGGCATTTTATTTATCGTTTTTGCCCGTAGATACACAAGTTTGTGTCCAATGAATTCAGGGTGTCGTTGCTAGTGCGAAATAATTTAGCGTCTTTTGTCATTTACAGTACGCATTTGTTTTAAATGTGCAAGTCAGTGTTTGGAAATATTTAGAACACTCCAATGAACGAAATATTAGCTAGGTAGTTTAATAACTGGTCGAAACGCAGCTTATCATGTTTTACATGTGTACGTCTGCAAATGTCTGCATGTGTTGTTCTCGAATCATTTATTACTTATTAGCATGAATAAAGAAACGGTGCTTGTTTACCTAGACTACAATTTAGTTAAGTCAACAGCTATACAAAACCCAAACACTTATTAGATAAAACAAGAACTGAAGAATTAGACATAAACATAGAAAAACACTTTTAATCGCGTGCGATGATATACACACAAATAATGCATATAAACCACGAATTTAGTGTTGATCTGGTAGCACGTGCACAACATGACCGAGTTCGCTCCGCGCGCAGAGTACATGTACAGTGCGTGTTTTGCGGTTATCAAACCATCGTGAATAATATCAGTGAACTATCAGTGCCACACAGGAATAACTGCTCTCTCGAGAGGTATCCAATTGGCACCACAGCAGCAGAAAGTATGAATGGAAACCATACATCACAGTGGCTTGTAATAGCTTGCTATAGGCTAGGTTCATCAATGAACTAATGAGCTTCACACAACGCGTTCATACACGTGTGGATGACTTCGTGATCGACGCTTAGTACCTTACACATAACAACGTTTTTTGCCATGTATTTTATCAATACTACAGTTCAAAATAGCAACCGTGCTTTATCTAGTCGACCATGCGAAAGCGCATGCCCGAGCTTGTCAAAATATACGTCACACAGTAGTAGGTGGGTGTATGTGTGACCTCACTTGACCGACTTCCTGTCTTCATAATACACACATGCAGAAAAAGTGACGTGGCCTTTTTTCCACTCAATGGTTTTTAGAGCGAGTCCGTGTATATACGCTTCGTGCCGTATATTTAAACACTATCTTGCACATGCAGTTACGCTTTCGATCGTTACATTTTATCCTTGAACGTGAGGCAAAACCTATTACATGATAATTTTCACAAATGGTAACAAAGTACAGGTTGGCATGGAAACCCATAGCTTTTATCGATCAAAGATTGCAATGGTTGAATGGTTGCGCTGTCGATCGTCGGTCCGGAAAAGGAGAGTGCTTTATGCAAATGTGGCTAGTGTGAGAACCTCTGGCCGGGCTTATCCTCTAGATGACCTCACATAAAAAAAACACAGCCAGCGAACCAGCTGTCTCCGTTTCACATCAAAGAACCTAGGTGGTCTGCAGCGGTCTCCCGAGGCCAGTAATGGACCGGGGATCTTTGTGTACATACGCAAATAAACACCTATCTTTATAAACGTATTTAGAAAACAAAACAAATAATGATATTTAATAGAAATATGTCAATGATTGCATTTTTAATCAACTACTTATAGTATGACTTTGAATGATGGGTATATGGTATGGAATTCGGAGCCACTGCAAGGGCGTCACTGGGTTTCGTGCTGACGGTTACCGGGGGCCGTGGAGATATCCAGTTCATTGCGAATTGGCGTGGCCTCGGTTTGTAGGCTCGGGCAATAAACCATGAAGATCTTAACCTTGGCCTCCCGGTCACCATATATCACCAACCGGACATAGCTTGTGCAAAACGCACAATTACGTGAAAAACATGGCGTGCCGTGTCGTTCACTCCGGAACGGCAGCATGGTAAGGCGGAATACGTACTGTATAATTCAGCTCCAGATATCTAAACTTTCGGGCCCCAGCCTATAAATGCACTATCATCATCAAGCCTAACTTGTTAGTCATTCATCTATAGCTTTCTTTGATAAACATATATGCTAACGCTAGTATATAGCATATCGTGTACCCATTAAAGCTGATTTGAAGAACGATTTCCCTTGACAGCTCACTGTCACCCTCTGCGACTTAACACACCAGCACACAAAGCCACACACGAGTACCCATGTGCCCTGGTCCTCGGTATTTCCCAGTCCATTACACAATCCTGGGTAGAATGTGTCCTGACATTGTTAACTATCGAGGCTAGGATTGGCTCGTTTTTTCTAGTAAGGCAAATATGTGAGGATTAATACATGACCTATATACACTGTAGAACATACAGGCCCGGCATACGTTACGCGCCCATTATATAACTTGCATGCGCACGCATCTGTGCCGGGTCACGACAATTGAGGACATGGCCCCGCTTCGTCCCGAGTTCAGCCCTCGAATTCAATGGCTGTTTCACCTCAGATAACCTAAAGGCTAAGGTAAGTCTGGACTGGTGCGAAGCCTAGCCTCATGGTAATAAGGTTCGCCGGGCTGACCAATTGCCGGCCAGCGTGTAAGCGTAAAACCGCTGTTGTGTTTGTCCTACTATGCATTGGAGGTCATATCAGTTCACGGACCACGTGACTACCGTCGTGAATGTCCAGTTTTAACAAGTTATATAATTATTCCTTTTTTGCAGCATCTACCTCGCACCCGGACGGGCTGAGCTGGATTTAGGGACCTTGTGAACTTTCTTAGGAATTAGTATCTATGTTTTTATGTGGAGCGGCTAGGACGGGGCCGAAAACCCAGAAGGTATGTATAGTGGTGTACTTCCCCCTTTGTGTATCGGGTCTTGAGAGGTCAGCGGCTTGTTTGTTCAGCGATAGCGCAATATATGTACGTGAGTAATATGTGGCTACGCAAAATGTGTACACATACACACATTATAACACTGTGTTACCCAACCTTGTGATGACACAGTCCACAGGAAACACAACGTGGCTATCAGCATCCGCCGCATTTTATATACACAAACAGGTCAGATGGTTATTAATAAGTAACCGGCCCAGTGGCGGTCAATGCGCTTATACGATATGTGATCCCTATACAACGCTATTTAGTGTTAGTTGTACTTTTTACTCATTATCGCACTAGAAACTGTGGAAAACACGGCCATGGCTGCCATATGACCTTAACCTGTGGCACTATATTACGTAAGGGCCGTGTTTACATCATGCGAGTGCGCTGTTGCGCAAGGTGTGTTTTGCCACTAGTAGTGTTGAAGTGATGGCCGTAGCTTCTCGGTATGTGGCCTTCCATGCTAACTGTTTGGACTATCGTAGTACACAAAACACGAGGTAGGTCTACTCTTGGCATGTCATCAATTACAAATTCTACATTTTATATTCCTAGAAAATTTCAAATTTTCGAAGAACATTTCTTACGAACAAATTTGATTATTTTTGAAAATGCTGGATCGTTCATTTTGTTCAGAAAATACTCGCTAACAAAATACCATTTTAGGACATATATATGTATTTGTTATAACTTTGCAAATTTGGAGTGATAAAAATAACACTTTGTTTTGGCTTCAGAAATATACGGTGGATATGAGGTCCTTTTCTTAAAATTATGCATTAATGTCTGTTGATAAGAGCATATAACCTGAATGATATATCGAATAACAATGTTTGGCATAATATGTGCTTTTAAATTGTGAAAATAAACAAAATTTTCAAATAATTATAGAAAATAACGACGAACCTATGTACGTTCCCAAAAAAAAAGGCCATAGATTGATTTGCAAACATGTTATATATAGTTTCCTCTGGTACCATGTTTTAGTTACTTCATTTCGTTTGACATTTTCGTTGAATGTTGTTGAAAATTGATACACAATATAAAACAAAAAAAATCCGGGTTACCCAAAGTATCGGTTATTGATTTGAAATAACTTAAAATTTTCTAGAAAAACAACCGCAGAAAGATCTTTAACTAGTATTGATTGTAAGGTTAAAAAAATCGATAGAATTTTCACGAAGTGGTATTTTATTATACAACTGATGTTCGACATGTTTTTGAATGTAAATGACAAGTATTGTCAAGAATACAAAAAAAATGTACATAATATGTTTTTGAAAAAATAATTCCATGTTTCTAGTGTTTACTGACGTTCAATATATTGATAAATATTTTAAGGGGAAAACCGTATATGTTTGAAAATTGCTGATATGATGTATGTGTGTTCTATAAGGAGTGGTGTGTGCTAACGAACCTCGTAACAAGTGCTCAATGATCCCATACCAGGGTGATTCATCTCCATAGTCATTTACAAAGACATTACACTCCTCTTTGTGATACGCGTCATACACACTGGTTAAATAATTCTCAGAGCTGGCTTATTAGACCTCCTACCTAATGTGAATGTCTTTATACGTGGCTAGTGACCTTAAGTAAGCAGTTAGCATTACAATGGGCTGGGTTTATACCGTGTGTACTTACTGAAGCTAAAAAATATAGATAGGGACAACACAATGTTGGTCTGGACGTACAATAGTGGGAGCATCTACGTTTAGACACGTACAACACGACATTATAAAATGTATACAATTAAGCGCAACTTATATCAGATTTTTCAAAATAAAAACGACCGGTAATACCAATATCATAAACAGATATAATTGTTTTTTTTACTCTTGTTCAGACCTATGTCATTCAGAAACTGTCTGGATTGGTAATTTCTTCAATTGATTTTGAAAAATTAAATCTAAAGAATATAGTTGGGTTTTTTGTATATGAATAGTTTCCGATACGGACACAAACGTATCCTGATCAGACGTGTTATTTTTCGACACGATTCCATTGTCATTTCATCGGTCGGATGCATACAAAATATACTGCTTAGGATGAGGTGTGTGTGCGGATTCATTTTATACGCTAGACTGGTGTTGGATATATACATGACTGCATTTAATATAATTTTTATAATTTGATATGGAAGTTAAGCAAAGCTTGTAAAGTGGCAAATCAAAAATCAGTATGTGATAATAAGATTGTCAGATCATGACTTCGGGGGCTTGCAAGAGGCAAACGTTGTCACGAGGTGCGGTAATACACAGCTTTAACTTTGACTGTAAACAATAGTATGGATATGTTATATTACATTAGATATGTAAATTATCATTTGACCACCTTTCCGTACCGGGTTATTTACATACCGTATCTAATGCAGGGATAGTGTACAGGTGTAAGTTAAGCTTTACTTGGTATGTTTAGTATATGTAATAATTACACCTGTCATTGCGGAAAGCCTACAGAATGTTATACACCTATCCCACTTAACACCGATCGAGACCCCAGTTAGGTCACGTGGGGTTGTTTACATCTTCATATGACTGATGATCTGTGATATAAAAAGAATGTTACCTCATTCATGACCTGTAAACAAAAACAGAACAGCGCAGGAAACACACAAAACAAAAAACAACATATCTCGAAAGGGAACATAATTAACATATATAACAACATTTATTGTGATTGTGGACAGGGAACATAGTATCACAACAATATTGTTGGACAGGGAACATAATATCACAACAACATTGTTGGACAGGGAATATAGTATCACAACAACATTGTGGACAGGGAACATGGTATCACAAAAACATTGTTGGACAGGGAACATAGTATCACAACAACATTGTTGGACAGGGAATATAGTTATCAAATAACGACATTTGTGGACAAGGTACATAGTATTAAAAACATCAACATTTGTGGACAAGGTACATACAGTTGTATTTAAAACAACAACATTTGTGGACAGGGAACATAGTAAAAACAACAACATTTGTGGACGGGGAACATAGTATTAAAAGCAACAACATTTGTGGACGGGGAACATAGTAAAAACAACAACATTTGTGGACAGGGAACATAGTAAAAACAACAACATTTGTGGACGGGGAACATAGTATTAAAAGCAACAACATTTGTGGACGGGGAACATAGTAAAAACAACAACATTTGTGGACAGGGAACATAGTAAAAACAACAACATTTGTGGACAGGGAACATAGTAAAAACAACAACATTTGTGGACAGGGAACATAGTAAAAACAACAACATTTGTGGACAGGGAACATAGTAAAAACAACAACATTTGTGGACAGGGAACATAGTAAAAACAACAACATTTGTGGACAGGGAACATAGTAAAAACAACAACATTTGTGGACAGGGAACATAGTAAAAACAACAACATTTGTGGACAGGGAACATAGTAAAAACAACAACATTTGTGGACAGGGAACATAGTAAAAACAACAACATTTGTGGACAGGGAACATAGTAAAAACAACAACATTTGTGGACAGGGAACATAGTAAAAACAACAACATTTGTGGACAGGGAACATAGTAAAAACAACAACATTTGTGGACAGGGAACATAGTAAAAACAACAACATTTGTGGACAGGGAACATAGTAAAAACAACAACATTTGTGGACAGGGAACATAGTAAAAACAACAACATTTGTGGACAGGGAACATAGTAAAAACAACAACATTTGTGGACAGGGAACATAGTAAAAACAACAACATTTGTGGACAGGGAACATAGTAAAAACAACAACATTTGTGGACAGGGAACATAGTAAAAACAACAACATTTGTGGACAGGGAACATAGTAAAAACAACAACATTTGTGGACAGGGAACATAGTAAAAACAACAACATTTGTGGACAGGGAACATAGTAAAAACAACAACATTTGTGGACAGGGAACATAGTAAAAACAACAACATTTGTGGACAGGGAACATAGTAAAAACACAACATTTGTGGACAGGGAACATAGTATTAAAAGCAACAACATTTGTGGACAGGGAACATAGTAAAAACAACAACATTTGTGGACAGGGAACATAGTAAAAACACAACATTTGTGGACAGGGAACATAGTAAAAACACAACATTTGTGGACAGGGAACATAGTATTAAAAGCAACAACATTTGTGGACAGGGAACATAGTAAAAACAACAACATTTGTGGACAGGGAACATAGTAAAAACACAACATTTGTGGACCGTGAACAAATTAAACACAACAAAAGCACTTCTGAACAAGGAAAACATTAATAAACAACACCAACAACCCTTCTGGACAGAGAAAACATGTAACACAATTAATAACCCTTCTGGGCAGGGAAAACATTTATAAACCAACAAACATCCCTCCTGGACAGGGCAAGCATTCGAAACACAACCAAAAACCCTTATGGACAGAGAAAATATGGAAAAACAAAACCAACAACCCTTATTGACAGAGAAACATTTGAAAACCAATCAGCATCACTTATGGACAGAGAAAACATTAATAACACAACAAACAACCCTTCTGGACAGAAAAAAACTATACTCATTCACTCCTGAGGAAACATTTGAACTCTTCCAATTCACAGGTTGGAATAGTTCATTATGAAATTTCAAGGGTATGTGAGTATAACAAAACCAACAACCCAACTTGATAGAGAAAACATTAAAAACATAATCATCATTCCTTCTGGAAGGAGAAAACTATAAAAAAAAAAAACTTTTTGGACGATGAAAACGTTAGAAAACACAACCGACAAATCTTTTGAACAATACTTCTATACAGGAAAGCTGCTAACATCAAACCAAAACAGTTACTGGTCAAGAAAAGCATTAACTCATTCACCCCTGAACTTTAATAATGAACTATTTCAACCTTTGAATTGGAAGAGTTCAAATGTGTCTTCAGGAGTAAATGGGTTAAAACCATCCCCAATTATTCAAACTCCCACCTACCAAGGGGCAAACCGAATTTGAAACAATACAAGATGAACATTACACACCAGAGATACTAAAAAAAAACCAGCAATAAACACATTTCTTCCGTCACCACCATTAAAACAGTCAACAAAAACAACACACACTGACATTGAACTCCGAACAAACACCGTTCGTACACACCTTATAGGTCAAGGCAGATGGACATCAGTCAGGGTTTTTTTCTCGCACTGATGCTGATCGCTGTATTTTATTTGAGGGCCATGATGAATACTATATATTGTAATCAATATATCTCGCACGATTCAATTGCAATGTTACAGCGACCCTGTGCCTGCTGTTATCGATTGTACCGTAGGTCAAATATGACAAAAAAGGAAAAACATTGGTATTCAGGAGCAGTAGATAGTTATTCAAGACACACGGACTATTATTGATTGCATCACAGTTGTTTGTGTGACCTGATAGTTCAGACACAGACATTGGCCTCGTCTGTCAGTACACCTGTAACATTATCAAAAGTGTAAACACCAACGTCCTAGTGA